GCCGTGCCACAGGGGCGGAAGTGTGGCGAGGCCCTGCTGAGGGCTGGAGGCTGTCCTGGAGAACCACCCTGTGGCGTGGACGTAGCCCATGCGAGCACGCTTTGGTCTGCTCTGTACTGGCATTAAACTCATCCCTCTTCTGGGTATGCTGCGAGGACGGTTTGGGTTTAAAGGGAGCGTTATGGAAGCAGCTGCCCTGCAGGTGAGGGTTGCCCGGGTGGCCTGATTTGCAGCAGTCCTCAGCGTCTGCAGCTCCAGGTTTTCCTGTTAATGGCTATAGTATTTAATTCTAAAATCGAGTTTTTCGTGTCCGCTGTTCTAAGTGCGTGTCAAGGTGGGTTAAAGTGGAAATAATTGTGGACTTTCAGGTGTTGGCCTTTGTCAGAACTGGCATATCACTTTTACTCTGCTTATTAGTCTTTGCCTTCTCAGTCTAGGGAATCTGACTTTAATTTTGGAAGTAGATGCTGATTCTTCTGCCTTTCATTTTTAGGGTCATGTGGAACAACATCGCTTTGTGCTCCATTTGCAAGTTCTCCCCTAGCTCCACATCTTCACTGTTTTCAAGATTCCAAGCTTTACATCCTGTATGCAAAAGAAAGTATAAGGACTTTTGTAAAGATGAACCAGCAGCACAGATACTACAGAGCTGGTCTTGTCAAGTTGTGAAAAGGACATGCAATATGCTTCCCAGTCGTTTAGTAAGTAATAAAGCAAAATATAGACAGTATACAAAAACTTACCCTGTTTTAGATGGATGTATCCCAACTATATATCAACATGTGTTTGAAGAAAATTTAAGGAACAGTGAGGCCGTTATTCGAAGGTAAAAACTGTTTCTGTAATGTTAATATATTTAAGATGATATAAGCATTACTTATAGGCACTTTTAAGAATTTTTAACTTAGGAAGATCACTATTTAAAAAAATCACAGATCTTAACAAATTTGGGGTAATTTTTTTCCAACTGCTTTGAAGCTTAAAATAGCAACTCCTTGCTGCTATTTTCCTGCACGTCATCTCTGCAGAGAATACTTTACAAGGATCAGCACTTAAATTTCAGTCCACTAAAACAGGTGCATAATTGTCGGTCAAAATGCCTAAACTTAGATGTAGACTGCATTTAAAATATTGCCATATGACATTGTTTTGCATATATTGCGAAGAAGTATTTTTTTTCTAGACCTTCATAAAAATTGTCTTATGTCTAATTTTGAATTCAAAAACGTAAATGGTGACTCACATATTTCCAAATCTCTCCTGAAAGAGTAGGTGACAGTTAATGCAATTGGTCGTGATTCACTGACAAAAGGAGGAAAACGTATTTTATGCATTTGTCCTTAAGGAGCAGATGGCAAATACTCAAAGGCCTTTGTTCAGAAGAAAGATACACGAGCTGGAAGCGAAACTGTGGAAAACACACTGTGCCCTCCTGTGGTGGCATTTACAGCATTATTAAAAATCCGTAGCTTTCTCTCCTGAGGTTTTTTAACCTCTATAGTCTGCAGGAAGCCACAATACAGATAGTGGAATTATGTGTGGAGTGGTTCGTAAATTATTACATGAAACAGTAATTTTAGCTAAAGATGATGCATCTTGTGGGAAAAACCATACTTAAAATAAGTGAACAACCTGGTTTATTCAAATCAAAATTATTCCAAGGACTGCATTTGTTTACAGTCTATTCGGTTCGTTATTTGCTCTTTATGCTGCCTAGTCAATAACGTTTGGCAGTGAGCTTTTCTTTGGATGATTATACTGACGCTGCAGTATTCACTGCTTTTAAAACATAGCTGCCATGTTGTTGAACGTTCTTTAGGCTTGTCAGATAAACCTTTCGGCACTTGTTGAGGGAGGGCCAAGGAGGAAGCCACTGATTGGATTCTTCGTTAGAGTGGTCGGAAAATAGAGGTAAATGTTCACACTGAACTCGGACTCCAAAGTTATGATAGCCCAGAAATTTGCAGTAGCCCTCAAAGTCAGGTCTTCAGCTTTGGTTGGTGGTGGTCAGCCTGCTTTCAGTACTCCACTGACTGGGTTGCCAGCAGAGATGAAAAACGATCATATATTGTAAAATACTGAATGTTGGATATACATAGGAAACCTCTGGGGGAGGGTGATTGACCTAATAGTGTTTACTAGCGATGAACAAAAGCTACAGGCAGAATGTATTATTTGGCTCTTCTTTGCCTTTATTAGGCTCAGAAATGTAACTTTTGATAACAAAAATAAAATACTTGCTTTAGGAAACGTACCTCTGCTTTTTGTTTCACTTTGTGAGAAAAATTATGCCTTTGAATGCTGTGATCTGTTACACAGTAGTTGAGAAGTTCCTGTCAGAAACAATAATACAAAAGTGTGAATTTGTCTTCGTTATCGTACTACTGATGTGAAAACTGTGCAGTGCATTTAAGTACTGTGTTAAATCTGCTAAAGGGTAAATTTGTAAGTAAAGCTTATTTTCATTAATTGAAGCTTTGGTTTTTAAATCAGATATTCAGAATTGCTAGAGAAGGTCAGTAAAGGAGGAGGAGAAGATGCCATCTTGCGCCATACGCAGAGAAACAAGAAGCTGTTTGTTCGCGAACGCTTGAAAATGCTTCTTGATGATGAGTCTTTTCTTGAGCTGTCTCCTCTGGCAGGCCTCAATATGCCATATGGTGATGTCCCTGCTGCTGGATGCCTTACTGGTAATTGCTAGCGAATTTAATATTAGATGTAATAGGAAATTCATCAAGTCTATTTAATTGCTCGTATCTTTAAATATGATTCATGTTAGATCTAAACACAGATATAGGTTGTGGGTATTGTTTTGAAGGTATTGTTTGCACCATGATGGAGACGCAGCCCGGAAGGAAGAAGGGTTTGAACTGATATGATCCTTAAGGTAATTTGAGAGGAGCTGTTCAGGTGCACTGATATGCAGGTATGCTTTGAGGACTGACTAAAGTGCTCAGTTGGTTGCTCTTGGTAATGTTAAAAAAGCCCTCTTCATCATTCTGCTATGGGGTAGCCCTTTGTATTTAGAGTAAGTGATTGCAGGCAGCGTAGATGTGCTGCACACCTTCATATAGTAACCGATCTTCATCATTGCAGTTAAGGTGTTTGTGCTTCCCAAGAAAGGAAAAAGAATGCATCTAATCAAGTTTATGGAGTATTTTGGTATCTCAGTAATGTGTTTTGCTAGGGAAAATGAACATCAGCTCTTTCCAGTAGTAATTACCAGAATGGAACAGTTCAGCCACTGGCTGTAGTATTCTTCCATGATCTATTTTGGGGAATCTAGGGAAAAAACTTTTTTTTTTTTTTTAAAAAAAAACAAAAGGGATTTACTGTCTTCTAGATTCAGTAATTTATCATACTTACCAGTTACTGATCTGTATTTCAGGAAATTCAGAAAGGTATGTCAAATATACTGATGTCTGCTGAATGAAAGAAGACCAAGTTACTGTGTGACACAAACCCTGTGACGTTTATTTTATAACAGTTTTCAAATTATAGACTAATCTCTTACCTCATTCCATTTTGAAGAGCAGTTCCAGTTTAAAAAGCAACTGGAAGAATAGGAACATGAAGTCCTATGATTCTTTTGTCACAGATTACTACATTTTTCAGTTTGATATCAGTATTTTTATAGCCTTCCCTGTAAACTCACCTCAAGAGTTGGAAGTCAGACTATGTTATTCTTTTTCTTACATATTGTCATCAATAGTAAAGAAGTTGTATTTTAAGTTCTGTCTTCTCTCTATTGACATACTGTTACCAAAAGAACATGCTAGCCACAGTTTGGCCTCCGTTTTTCATTAGAGAGTCCTGATAAGTACGTGTGGTACTGTTTATAGGAATTGGAAAAATCTGTGGGATCTGGTGTGTCTTCATGGCAAATGATGCAACTGTAAAAGGAGGAACTATTTATCCAATTGGAGTGAAGAAGCAATTGAGAGCTCAGGAAGTAGCAATGCAGAACAGACTTTTATCTGTGTACCTAGTTGACAGCGGGGGAGCATTCCTACCACTACAGGTAACATTGGAACAAATTCACAGAGGACTTTTTTTATCTTAATCATATTCATCTTTAGAAATAAGTCTCAGATCTATTTTTTTGTTATCTTGGCTGGCTGACACTCATTGTCTGTTAAATTGAATTTTGCCCACAAATCAGAGCCTGGGAGATGATGTGAACATATATAACAGCGGCATTCACCCTGGCTAATCTTGCATCTAGCTTCTGATCAAAGGTTAGAAGCTTTACTATCAATGTGGGGACAAAATGCTGACCAGGCAAGTTGTATGGATGTTCCTCAGTGCACTGAAAGGCTTTGGTGTCTTCAATAAATTAAAACATTGTTTGGGGTTTCTATTTTTGACTTCAGAATATTTCAAGTTACTCTGTATTTTGTTGTAAAGTCTGCAATATTGACGCACAAACCTCCATGGCCTTTAAAAAACTAATTTTTTTAATACTTACTGTAACAGGAGCACGTACACAGGTTAGTTTACAATGTACAAAGGTCACGTCATTACAGGGACTAGAGTTGTTCCATCTCCAGACTGAAAGCAAAGATGTAGAAAACGTTTTTACATGAATTACAGAATTTTAGAAAACTGAGTAAAAAGGAAAACTATATTGAAGTCCTCTCTCAAGTACAGGATGAACCTGAGCTTCCCCGTCCCTGTGTTTACAGTCTCTGCATGTGTAGAATAAATTCGTTTCACAAAAATGTGAAACTTCTCTCTGCTTTTGTGACCCAGATGGCCATGGATATTTTTGTGGCATTGAGCAATATATGAGAGAAATAACTTTTCACATGCAGCATTCTCTACCATGTTTACCAGGTGTGATTGCTAATAGTATCCTTCTTAGAATCAGTTGCAATGGTTTGTGAATGAATGAAGTAAAGATGAAGAACTAGGTTTCTGTAGATAATATTGAAACTCACGTTCTTTTTTTCTCTGTAACGTCAGTCAGAGCTGTTTCCTGACAAGTCAGATGGTGGCAGAATTTTCTACAATGAAGCAATAATGTCTGCCATGAAGATCCCTCAGGTACAGTGTCATTTTCAATACAAGTAAGCGTAGTATACGTGATTAATAGAGTTCTTGAAAAAGTTTCCTTTTAATACTGATTCTAGGACCAATTCACAAACATGCAAAAATTTCTTAAAATTTGTGGGGAGATTCAAATGGTAACTCATATAATAGAATGATCATACTTCTGCCTTAAAGATCCTCTAAGTGCTTACCAGCTGATCTTAATGAAAAAATCATCAAATTGCTAGGCAATTTTAGAGTAAACTTCTCTGAGCTCTGTGTGATATCAGAAATGGTGGTGGTTTTCATGATTGTGTTTATATTTTTAGTTCCTGGTTCTCCAAGGTTTTGAATGTTTCTGAAATAATCGTAGCGGCTTTGTTTTTCCATTCTCCTCTCACCAGTATCTTGTTTGGTTTTGTGTTCTGTGTCCTTCAGGTGGCAGTAGTGTGTGGCTCCTGTGTAGCTGGAGGTGCCTATGTTCCAACCATGGCAGAAGAAACTGTGATTATAGATAAAATTGGTACGCTGTTCCTTGCTGGCCCGCCTCTGGTAAAAGCTGCTACAGGAGAAAATGTCTCTCCTGAGGACCTAGGAGGAGCCCAACTTCATTCCAAGTAGGTGAAATGATTCTGTAAAGTATAAGAGAACTCAGTAAATTCACCTTTAGAGAGGCTGCCGTTCTGTCATAAATTAATATGAGTGAAGCTGTTTTTGATGCCTGTAGTAATAGGACACAATATGGTCCACAAAGATGGGAAAGCATGTCGTGGAAAAAATGGTAGAAATGGTACATGAATTATTATAAAGGTTGGTGTGTTTAGATAATATGTAGGCGTATCATGGGGTTAGATACAAGCTTTCCAAATGAAGAAAAATAACATAGCACTGTAGTTTCTCATTTGTTACTTTGCAAGTCAACTTTCCACTTCCACTTTTGGACAAAGTTCTCAGTTGTTACATATTTAACTGATAGAAATCTCAGATAAATGTAGAGGACAGGACCAGGGCCAAAAGTGGATCCTGTCATTACATTATTTGCTTTTTTCCTTCTCAGATACTGTTTTTTGTTCTATCAGCCAAATGGAAGAAAAATCAAGTGGTATTAGGACTAGGCTTTTCGTCCCCCCTTCTTCCACGTGCTTACTGAACAACTTTAGGCAAATCAACTCCTCCCTGCCTCAGAAGGAAGACTTTTCCAAATGGAAATATTGTCAGGATGCACGTATAAAAAAAATAGATTCTGTGCAATCAGATTCTGTGATAATGGGGAAACTTATAAGAAATTCTTTTTCTTCCTGAAACTGGTGTGTGGAGAGATAGCGTGACTTTTTTTTTTTTTTCATGTACTTCTTAAGACACTGGAGAACACTTTGCAAAGAATATGAATGCTTGTAAAAGCTCCTGAAAGAAGAAAAAAAGGAAAGCCTGTCTGCCTCTGCTCTTACTGAGGGCTTCATAGCAGGAGATGAGCAAACAGGAGATGTGCCTGATAATAGTAGCTACCTAATCATTTCTTTAACATTATTTTTGTATGTCCAAAGTTACTGTAGTTGTCAAAATAGTGTTATTCCATTTTAGACAGGGGGAAGACCCTTTTCTGTTTGCTTTGCTTCATTATGCTTGGTATTGTATAATTTGTATATAGAAACTAGATTCCATACCTTTCATACGAAGGTCTCACAAAAATAAATATTAGTGTGAGACCTTCATCTTTCTTTAACGTAGATTTAAAACAAGGCACAAGGAAGAGATTCCCTTCTCTCTACTGTGCGTTTTTGTTTAGATTGCATGGAAATTCTACTTACTTACTGGTTTCAGCTCATCCATGTCCAAGAAAAAAAAGGCACAATGTTTTCAGGGAATTCAGAGGTTCACAGTGCAGATGAAAGTTTACTTTCTCTTAGCTTGGATTTTCTTTCAGTATTCTGATTTCATTAATTTAATACTAATTAATACTGCTTTCTCTTCCAGAGTGAGTGGCTGTAGTGACCATTTTGCATCTTCAGAGAAGCAAGCCTATGAATGCGTTCGAAATATTATCTCAACGTTAAGTTATGAGCCTCTGCCGGAGGAATTCATAGAGTACGATGGTCCTTTGTATAGTTCTGATGAGCTCTTGGGGCTGGCACCACAAGGTTATAGCTATACTCTTCCTGTAAAATTGGTAAGTTGACAGGTACTGTATACCTTCATCCTTTCAGTCTGCTTTAGCTGGTATTTGTGTTTGAAAAAAGCGTAAGCAATATGCTGCTGAGAAGGGTTTTTTTTAATGCACACAAACTATACCTGCACATGCTAGGGTTTTTTGCAAGGTTTTTGTGCAACAAAACGTGAACAACCGTGTTCTGTAACCTTGAAATAATTTTGGAGTCGAAGTTTGGCTCAAAATACTTCATCGGCAATCAACTGTAAACACAAATTTGTTTTGAGCGTATTGTTTTTTTTAGTAGAATAAGACATAAAATATCCACTAGGATCATTTAGTTTGACTTCTTGCATAATATAGGTCTTCCTACTATTTGAACAGAGTGTATCCTTTAGCAGAACTATCCTATTTTCATTTCAGTTTCTTTGGGAAAGAACTTTTTTTTTTTTTTTTGGCAGATTCTGAGCCGTCTGATGGATGGAAGCAGATTCCAGGAATTCAAGGCTGATTATGGAACAACATTAGTAACAGGATTTGGCCATGTGGAAGGGTAAGGCTATAAGATTTCATTATAAAAATATCTAGACATACCTGTCTAGAAAGCTTTCATATCATTATTAGGTTTTACAGTGTTGCAGTAACAATACTTATGGAATTCTGAATGAGACAAGAATTGCTAATAAAATACTTAAAAATACAATACCAGGAAACCTTACTCTTTTATCTCTAAGTTCTGAATTGATCTTATCTCAGGCTGATAGTGGTAGAGAGTGATTTCAAATGGATGGTTTTCATGACTTTTGTGAAATTATTTGTTTGTTCGCTCGAGTTACTACCTGGGCGGTTGGAACATTGAAGTCTCACCAGATTCCTTAAGAAATAAGAAATGGCATCTTTAAAAGTGTTCTGTCTCAAACTGAGTTGAAAGCTGTGCCTTATCCTATCTCCCATTTTGGTCTCACTACCTGATATAATCGACTATATTGTTAACGCATTCATATCACTTTCCAGCCAAATCTTAAAAAAACCCTGTAAAAAGTATTATTTCTTTTGAGCCTCTTTCTATGTTGAAAGTCTAAATGTTGCGGGCTAAATGTTATATTGTATGTTACAATAGTTAGAGTCAAGAATCCTGGCACCTTGTATGTTGTCTTGCAGTGTAAACTGTAGCAGGTCATCTCTACCTTTACCTGACCTCTGGGTGTTAATCCATACTAACACTTCCGTGCTTTATATATACGGAGCGCTGGAACTTCTTGTTTGTTATGTACATGAGGTTCCCTGAATGAAATGACATATGTCAAGTGCATCCTTCTATATTTTAAATTTCTTTAGCAGGACAGATTTGTGTGTGTATGGATATTTACATTTCCATTCTTTATATCATTAGGAGCTACATTTTCATAATTTCTGGGATTCAAAAGTGAGAGTGTTCACATATCTGTCTTGCAGGCACTTGGTGGGGATAGTGGCTAACAATGGGGAGCTTTCTCATGATGCTTCTCTCAAGGGTTGCCATTTTGTACAGCTGTGCGGTCAGCGGAGCATTCCTATCCTCTTTTTCCAAAATACTGCTCCACACGCAGCAGAGCCAACAAGCATTTCGCAGGTATGGCATTTTTAGTTCAGTATGCTTAATTCAAGCAGTTCCTAGCTCTTGTTCTAAGACTTCACTTTGAAAATTACTGATTATTAAGAAAATCAATTTTCTTAATCCACTCTTAATAATTAAACCAAACAAACAGCCTCGAAATTACTTTATTCTTAAATCTTCCCGCTAGCATTCTCACTTTATTCCCGTTCTGTGGGCTTATCTAAAACGATAGTGCCCAGCTTGCAATGTAAGCTGTAAAAGCTTGGAATTCATAGAGCTTTTTGCATTGAAAAAGAGCCTGTTAGTTCTTCTCATACCATTCTGTGCCATAGAAAATACATATTTCTTTTTTCTAAAAATTAAGTCATTGAGGTGCAGTATATTTTGTCCAGAGCTACAGAGAGCGTCACAGTAAAGCCTACACTAGGCTCTCTGAGCAGAGGCTGTTCCTGCAGCCCTGTTCTTCCCGACTGTTGCCAGCTTTAAAGACAAAGCCTGGTGTAATTCCGTTGTATCTGAGCTTCACTAATGTCTGGGAGAGCTAGAGTTGCTCTGTGTTGTAGGCTTAACACAGCAGAACAGTGCTGGGATGTGCACACTGGTTATAATTATTCTGTTGATTTACGTTGTAAAATAAGTAGCATAATGGATTATGGCAGTAAATTTAATGCTGTTGTCTTCCTGTTTTGGGAGAAACGATCATACAGAATCATAAAGAAATAAATGTTCCAGAGACGCTTTGCAAGTTTGGTGGGAGTGGAAGAAATCTAGAAGAAAGAGGAACTAAAATCTTTACTTTAATTTCAGGCAGAAGCTCACACCAACAGATTAAAAGCCCAGGCCTCCATGATGGCTGCTGTTGCTTGTGCTGCTGTCCCCAAAATAACCATTGTAATTGGTGGATGTTATGGGAGTGAAAGTTATGTTATGGTACGAGATAGCATAAAGGTGAATGTGTTTGGTAATAGACTTTTTTTACGCTTTACCAAGCCTTCACAGTGCTTTCATTTTTAAAATGCAGTCAGCTGTTGGTATAGATATTTAACTCCACTCGTTATTTTAACCACTGTTAAAATTAGATATACATCATAAATTGTGATTACAAAAAGTTTGGTCCCCAACTAAGAGCCTAGAGCTAGTTCTAAAAAAACAGGTTATTTGAAATTGTTTCTACTAAGGATCCAGTCCTGCCTTTTTCTCAGCACATACTACTTGTTCACAGTGGTCAGGAACCACGTCGTCTTTAGCTGTGTTATTACATGTGCTGTTCACATGGCTATAAGTGTGGTAGGGCTATTTGCTTGCTCAGAATTAGAGATGTAAATGCTTGAAGGAAACATGAAACAAAAAAATACCGGCATTGAAGGCAGTGGTGACTGCAGTGTTTGCTACTGCATGGGATCTGTGCTGATACAGATTCTATACCTGTTATGATAAATGGTCGGTATCATTAGTCCTTTATGATTTAAACTGTATTACATTCTGTCTTGAACTTGATTGTGTCATCCTATGGCCATTTCTAGTGATTAAATTCCGTGAGTTTGTCCTGTGCGTTTCTTCATAGTGTGGGAGATCGTTCAGTCCAAACTTCTTGTTCTTGTGGCCTAATGCAAGAGTTGCTCTTGTGGATTCAAGACACTTCTTCGCAATCCCAAAAGCTGAGGATAGTGACTGTAAAGGAGATGAATCAGAACTAAACCATCTAAAAGAAAAGTAAGAACATCAACTAATAAAGCCCTGCAGTTACACTGAGATTGAATTAGTGAAAATACCTTCTTTTTTTTCATATTCCAGATTGTAAACAGCTAAAGCAAACCTGAATCTACTGAAAAATATTTTAAAATGCCATGTGGTCTCTGCCTTGTATGCTGTTAAGGTCTTCTCAAGGGAGCATGCATGTTTGACTGACTGACTTAAAAAGCCCCCAAACCTAAAATCAAAATATTCTGCTGTGTATAAAACAATGGAGATCGGCATGTAGAGGGTCTACTGTATTGCAGAATGACTGAAATGCAGAGGGATCAGATCTAATCTTTCTTATGTAGCTGTACCCAAAACTATTTTTAACAGTAGTGCCATGCATTCATTTGAAATTGAAGAGTTTGCCTTTTTCATCTGTGATTTTTGTTTTACTGGCCTGATCTTTTTTTGTTACCTTTTTGTACTTTTAAACTTATTTAATACTCTCTCCTCCTTAGGCTAGAGGAAGAAAGCAGTGCATTTTATTCCTCTGCCAGACTCTGGGATGATGGAATAATTCTACCTCAAAATACTAGAAGGGTAGGTTTTTCCTTTATGTGTTTTTTATAGCACATTTTATCCTCAGATCTAAAAAGATCTTGCAGTGAATGCGTAAGCCTGTGACTTGCTTAAGGTCAGCCAGCATGCTGATTCCCAGAACCACATCTCCCAGTTCTCACCCAGTTCCTTGGCACTTAACTTTTTCAACTCTTATCTTTTCTCTTCTACCTTAGTCTGTTGAAAAAGTTCTGTTGAAATCCTTTTTCATTCTGGTAACTTGACTGCAGCGTTTTCTCTTGAACCCCTTAATTGACTTTCCCATTTGATTTGGAATCCCAATCCTTAATTTTTCTGTCTTGCACAATTAAATTTAGGCTCTTCACTATTTGCATTCTTCCCATTCTTTTCTTCTAAGGATGTTTGTTTTTGCTACTTCTCCCTGCTTTTAATTTGCTTCTTACACTTGGAGTGTTCCCCATTTTACAGTTGGCAGACATCCACTCCATTGGATCTTTCCTAAAAGCCACCCTCTTTGTTGTTCTGTTTTGCCTTGTATTGTTTATTAGCAGTACTTAAAATATTCTTTGGACTTGTGAAGCTTGGTTGTTTTTTTTTTTGTTTTGTTTTTTAAGATCACAAATGTATGCTGCTTTCAACTAATGCTAAGTATGGTACATATTTATGCTGCTACATATACATGTTCAATATTTTCTGTGGAGGTTCTGGGAACTTTGATAATGGGAGAGCACTGAGAAGCATTTTCAAGTTCTAGAGTCCATAGAATCTCTCTTTAGAAACTGTATGTGAAAAGGATATGTATGACAATCAGAATAATCATTGTTGCTCAGGTAATTTTCACGAGCCCACCGTGGTTCAGATTTGCATGTTTAGCTCTTTTTTACAGTATTGTTTAGCTACCTATCCCAGTTCTTGCTGATGGATGGAATTCACGTTTAACTTTGTCTGAACTGAGACTACGTGCTCATTCAGATCCTTAATGTGCTGGGTTAGTTTGTTTTTAATAGGCTTTTTCAAGCCAGTGTGCGCTCTAAGAGCAGTAGAACGTTCGCTGTGAAATTAAGAAAATCCTTACCCCGGCTCTTAATTTCCGACAAGACGTACAAAAGGCTTTGGCAAAGGAGACTAGCATATGCACCATGAGCTAAAAGTTAACAGAATCTTAATAGAGAAGTCTTATTTTTAAAGACTGAAAGCCGTGTTCTGTGTTTTCAGTCATTACCATTGTCATAGGAGACCAAGAAATACGACTTATTCTAAAACGATGAACACATAAGGGGAAGAAAAGAATGTTTTGATAGTTTTTCACATAGGATTGGGGACCATAGGGACATAGTTATTTAACTATTGAACTGGATTATCAAATAATATATTTTGATTGAAAGCAATGGGTAAAATAGCTTCTCAGTTTTCTGAAAGTCATCCGCCTGTCATCACAGTGACTTTAAAATGGTTTAGTTTCCTCACACTATGGCTTCTGTGTGCAATACTTGTATTTTCAGGTCCTGTGGACATTTCTTTCTTGGCATTTCCCCTTCCCCAGGCCTGTATTACACTGATGGCCACTGTACAGCTCACAGCTGTGCATTGTAAATGTTCATTGTTTTGCAGAAAGTAAGAACAAAAATATTATTGAATGAATGCATACATTAGTAAAGCTTACTAAATGTTTTGCTTCAGGGGCTCATTGCTTACACTTTTTTCTTGTTTTTTAATCAGGTGGTTGCACAGTGCCTAGAAATTACAAAACAGCACAAGTACCAGGTCATATCTCCATGTCAGTATCCCATCATCAGAATGTAATTGCAGTCTGTCAGACACTTTCAAGTAATGGGCCTTTAAATAATTCTAATACCACACTGCTAACTTCAGCAAATGTAAATGACTTTCTCATTCTTTGATATCATTAATAAAACAGTTAGTTAAACCATCAGCAGGCAAACACAAATGCTGGATTTTAAGTCTATGTGCAATAAGTTTGTATTTCAAACCATAGTTTGTTACTACATTAGTTTAAACTTCCCTTTTTACAAAACAAAATTTTCATCTGTGTTTCTGTAGCACTCACTCCAATGAAGCAAACTCATTCTGAGCCATAGCGATTGTTTGATTATTTTTATTCATGTTTTATTATGAAATGCAGAACTCAAGAAATTGTACTTTGACAAAAGAAATAGGAAAGAGAAAACACAGAAGCTATTACTCTGTCTGGGCAGCAGGTGTTTTTAGGAATGTAAATGTTAGCAGCAGACGAAATGCTGCCTGCCTCTATGCCTTTGACCTAGCATCTGACTGACAAGTCCAGAGTTCCAGTTATGGAAAGGCAATGAACAAGGTGGGTGGTTTTATGATGGCTCCACTCAGGTTGCTCTGAGAATACTCATACAGTGACCAGGAGTTGGTTTAAATCCATAACACTTCAGCACCGGATAAAATTACCTCTTTTTGAAGCATGTAACAGAAGGAACACACAGTCTGTTCTGTGTCATGTTACCATGCCGACAAATACTGAGTTTACACTGTGCCATTTCATGTATCTTTCTGCTGCAAAGTTTAATCTTGAGAAATAAAACTTGTGTTATTTTAAGTGAATAATTCTTAGCACTGCACATTTTAAAATTATGTCAAAGAGTATATTTGAAAAATATCTGGGTAAGTATTTTAGAGAATCATCAAGGAAATGGAAATGTTTAATGATAATTAACCATGCAAATAAAAAAAAAATACTGAAGGAATTCAGGTCATTTGACTGTTTGTAAATAGAGCCTCCACCTTTTCAAAGTTGGAAGAAACCTAAGCCAACATGTTGCAGGCACCAGTCACGCTCTTTTGAAAAGTCCATGGAACGTCACAGGAATGTTCATCTCTACTTCAGCCCTGGCAACTTCACTCATGTCTTTGGCGTTGAGGATCAGCAGGTAGGCAGGCTTGGGCCCTGCGCCAGGGCTGATGACTATGCTCAGCACAACCCCTAGTCGGCAAGAAAAGGAACAGTTCTGTCCCAGGTATGTGTCATTCCTTATCCTTCACTTACATCACAGCACTGGGCCCTAGTAAATCTCAATTATTTTTCCCCTTTCATAGTTATTTTAAATTCTTGCTGTCATTCTGCTTCCCAGCCAGGGGTACTGTGGCAGTATCGCTCCTAAATAGTTTCCTTCTAGAACTGTGAACTATGAAAAGCTATTGCAAGGGCCTCTGACAAATGCCACTTAGTGGAATTTCTATCAAATTTGTCAACATTAAAAGTTGGAGGAAAAAAAGGAGTGGTTTGGCTTATAATTCTGCTTCTCAGGTGACAAGATTCTTGTTTCTGGATCCTGGCCCTTTCATAAGGAATGGGTGGAACATTCTAGCTCTTAGGGTTTTTGTTCCTTTGTGTACTCTTTTGGTCAGTCATTGAAGGAAAACAAGAGAGAGGATCTCTCTGCTACTGTCTCCTGTGGCTTCTGTCAGCCCCGTTCACTAGTTTGTATTCTGTCTCAGTCACGTGGCTAGATCTGCTACTGATGTCCTAAGCTGGAGCTAAGAGCTGACTAAACATACAAAATAACCCATGACAGCCATCAGCCATACTGCCTTGGGGAAGAGCACAGAAATGTGAGCATGGAACCTGGTTAATTTAGATTCAGGAAAGTGCATGTGCAGGGACTCGAGTCCTATGAAGTGAAAAAGATAAAAAGGACTTAAGCATATTCCTAAAGTGCTTGTTCTATCTTCATTTAAAAGAAAGCTTCCAAGAACATACTTAAATCTTTTTTTTGCTTGTGAAGGTCCCCATGACGTTCTTTCCTCAACTGGAGTAGGGACAGAGCATACGAGATTATGGCTCCATATAAACCTGGAAGTTTGCTCTCAACTTCAGCATAGCCAAGCTTTCTCCTAGCGTCATGTAATCCAGCTCAGAAATGAGGAAGTGGACACCCTTTCAGTCTAAAGGCTCCAGCTCACCTTCAGAAATAGGTACTGGGCTGAGGAGGTGTGAAAAAATGTATACAATGCTTGGCATGAGTACAACTGTGTGTCCTTGAGTGACAAAGACTAAAGTCACTCCACTCCTACACAAGGAAGTTGGGTAAAAATAAAAACATGCTTGGCTTGAGAGAGATTTCATTTTACAGAGTTTTGCCATCTGGATTTCTTTAAGAACTAACTCCTGATAGAAAGGCTAGAAAATAAGGACAACAGACCATCTAAACCTGCAGGTCTTTCTCTTCCTTTACTTTCATTCAGTCTTAATTTTTCTGTGTTCGCCTCGGAGATTTCCCAGCAGTTTTACGGTAACAAATAGATCTCCCATGGGAGCTACCTGGAGGTTCTCCTGCCCCTGTACTCTGTCCAGCCAAATTCAGGACAGCACACTCGGGGCCAGGAGAAACAAATTTGTAAAACACTGAGTAACTGAAAGACCACAATAAAACCAGTTATTACCATCATCTTCCTCCAGGGCATCAGGATGTGAAACAAAGATTGGTTCTGATGGGTATGAATCTGGTTCTTGCCACACCCAGGTCTCTCTTGTTTTAACATTTAGCTTACAAAGCTACAAAACAAGGTGAAAAACCAGCATCTTAGTAAATATCCTTTCTTGTCCTGAAGCTAAAAAGCTCACCAAAAAAAAAAAAAAAAAGGGAAAAAGAAAAAGCACGCCACCCATTTGTTAATAGTTACCCTGTCTGGAACAAAGTGATTCAGTCCAAGGCCATATGAATAGGTGTATGGTTTCCCACCATATTTCTTATAATTGATTTGTGGAAATTCAAAGGCTACAAACAAACAAAGAAACTTACATATTTGCACTAGGATTAGCAGGGTATGGGTTGCTGAGGCTACTGTTGCCTCTGGCTGAGATTCAGAGTTAACATCTTACCGTGGCGCGGCCCTGAGAAAATAACTTCTGGCTCCAGCCAGATGGTCTCGTCACTGCGCAAAGTTGCTGTAGCTGTTGTGTAGGGCAAGGTAACTAAATTCTTACCCGTGTCAGCCTGTGACAAAATAAAATAGCCACGACAAACAAAGAGCTGTAGTTGCATTCATTTTCTTAGCCATTTGCACAAACCATGCTAACTTTACTGGTTAATGAAGTTTGCAAATGTGCTGCCTCATGAAGCTGCAAAATTATAGTACACTTACTTGTGAGAAAAGGCTGCTTCTGTTTTCTTAGTTAGCTTTTGGTGGCCGGGAGCAGTAATGAGAACAGCTATCCAACATGTTAAAACAATCTTTTATTGCAGCCTTCACTGTGCTTACCTTAAATTAAAAATTAGATGAACAGACATGCTTAACTTTTTTCTGAGACATTTGGAGGTTAACTAAGTGGTGAGGCATGTGGTTGCACGTTTTGTTTGATCAGCACGAGACACAGTACCCATAAGATTTGCTGCTCTGAATCCAGCTCACCTGACCAGCAGCTTCACCCCTGTCTGCTCTCAACCCTCTGAGAATTGAGAGGATGGAAAGGTCTGAAAATACCTAGACCAAGGGCAGCAGTGTTTGGTATTCCCACCTCAGGGAATGCAGGAATACAAGAAGTTGGGCAGAGGAAAAGCGTTAAGCTCAGAGATCACTGAAACCTTGCGTTCACCAGCTCCTACTAGACTTCTTCAGCAAGAGGAGGATGACAACAAATAGGGTAGCTAGAAGTCATCTAGACGTTCCCAGCCACAGAAGTTTCTGTCAGGCCAGCTGTTTGATGGACCTCACCCCATGAGTTGGGAATGAATTCGATTGTGTGCTGTGGCTGCAAACACTTCCCTTCTCTGTTCACCCAGAGATGAACTCGAGGAGAAAATTATTTGTCAGTCGCCAGTCGTCTGCACCCTCTTTGAATAACTGCTATCCCACAGTGTTAAATTTGCAAGACAGCACATAGGAAATTGAATGCAATAATGTTGATAAGCTATGGAAAATAAAAAGTTTCTGTGAAGACCCATGCTCTAAGGATTCCCCCTTCCCCCCACCCTCCAAAAGGTTCGTTTGAATTAAACTGAATCAGGCAGAGCAACTGGTAATACCCTGCAATAAACTGCCTGGCAGTCATGCAGAGAGCAGCATTTCAAAGATCTGCTTGAAGTTCCACATGTGCAGAGCTGAACCATTACCTTGTCAACGTTCAAGGGGAGCACATATCTGCGGGCTTCAGGCTGAGGGGCTTTTTCTGCCTGTCTCTTCACTTCATCCCAGTTCGCTCGCAAATTGGCTAAATAGAGGTAGTTGTAAACAAACTCGAATCTGTACAAAAAGAGTACAGAGATCGTAGACACAAAGCAAAGATGGCATTAGCAAGTGAAGTTTCAAATGCAAGTGTTCTTTCCTAAAATACCATCAAGTAACACAAGCCCTGTTCTGGCTCTTTGGCAGAAGAAAACTGTGTGTATGCGTTACCGCCCTCTGTTAGAAAAACCCGAGGGCTGCTTGTTTTCAGTGTCTGCTCCCCTCGCACCTCGTGATAGCAGACAGGATAATCACAGTTCTGTGTCCTGGCTGCACAGTTTCAGTGCAGCTGCAATGTTAGGAGTCGTCATTCCAGTGCCCATAGGACTGCCAGACTTCTTGCAGTGTTTACGTGAAAAGCACCATTCAAACCTATACCAGATTGTGCCCGTTGCTATCCCAGAGACTGAAAGAGCATCAGCACTTCAGTAGTCGCTAGCATCTATTAAAGGCAAATGGAAAATCTTGGAAAATCAGTTTAAAACGGGCTTTCCACACATCTTGGTAACAATTTACACTTTAACCTACATATTAACAAGCATGACCATTTAATCCAATTGAAAGGAGGGGCTGCTTTCAGCCTTAATGCTAGATGCCGATTCCCACAGAGAAAGCGGAAGGTCTCCAGAGGACGCAGGCCTCTGTATGGATCGGCTCACACGCGCTAGTTAGGGTCACCACACGTTGGTTGCGGAAAGTCTGTTCACTGTCGCTAGCGCGTGTGGGGAAAGGTGCAGCGGCACATGCATTCTCATTCCTGCGCTGCTGTGTTGGCCAGCCCTAGACTCACTCCACAAACAGCACTGCGGATACTCACCCTTTCCAGGTGCAGAGATCCACGATAAGGAATCCGTTATCTTCAAAGGTGTTAATGTGATGGAAGAGGTTAAAGGCGGAAGTCCGATATTTGATATTGAGGAGTCTTCCTTTTTTTTTCTCTGCCACGTGAACCCAGACCTAAAAAGCAAGCAACACTTTGTTTTAGATTTGCAAGTAATGAAGGTGAAATTAATACAACAGATCTTCCGATTCAGAAGGCCGACTGCCCAGCAGAGCAGTATTTTGGCAAGATACACGACTTACCCCCATAGTTTCATTAGACTCGAAGCAGTCCATGTAGTTGGCTCCCCAAAGGCTCCAAGAGGAAAGGAACTTGAGAAGGTTAATTTTCACTGGCGTTTCAACAAACACTATGTAATTCGGGGTCAGTCCAAAGCTGTCCAGAAACATAGGAGGAGCACATCAAGTTCGCTCCAACTAGTTTGGGCAAAACAGATGTTCATACACCATGCCATAGTTAATTTTAAGCACTGGATGTAGAACGTAGCTTAAAAGAACAGCAAGATAAATATCCTGATTTTGGTAATTTCCTCAATTTTAGTTGCTTATTACCTGGGAGAACAAGTTCTGCTTGCCATTTCTACAGAACACGTTAAACCCCCCCAGCAATGTTGTACAGGGGTATCCATGCTTTTGTGTATTTCCATAAATAGAAGTACATGCTATTAGCAAATACTCACTTGTCAAAGCAGCTGTTTTGACACGTGAACATAGTACACAAAAGAGTTTTATTGTAAGCAACATCTCTCTCTGCTGTTAATGGACCTACATTTTTCAGTCTATAGGACCAGTGAAAAATTACCTGTGAACATAAGAAGGCTTAAATCTGTCACTGCAAGGAAACTGCACAACCACCTCAGACTTGTTTATTGGGTCTTCCTTGTCTGAAATACGATGATATTTGAACAATTATGGAAGAATTATGGTTGTATTACTGACGTTTACCTTACAAAGTTTCTGCCTTTAACACAAAGGAACTTTATGATCCAGAAGCCATGTACATAGTTGTTTTAAAGATAACATTTCTGTTACTTAAAAAAAGTTAAGTTTTTTTTTTAAATGAGTTATAAATAAATAAAATAAAAATTGTTAACAAAAGTCATCTGAAGAATAAAAGATTCCTCCTATTATTTATAGGACATGATTTTCTACAGTTCATTCAGAAGTTGGATTAACTGACCTGCTTGAAGTGGAGGAATCCGTATAATATTATAGGCAAGTGAAAAATTTTTTCCAAAACAATTGCCGATGTTATAAACTGTACCATCATTTTCAACATGGGGATGAGCTGTTGCTCCATTAACTGAAACATATTTACAGAGATCCACCTGGAGATCAAGAGGCAGAGAACCGTAAGCTTCCTCAGCAGGAGGCGGGAAGTTATCTGCTGCTGCTATGATTTAGCAAACGAATGCTTTGTTGGTCTATATATGGAAAGTTCTTCTCTTAAGTGCAGAACATCATCCACTTTGTGAAAAGGAAACATCAGCAAAGTTGAAGAATTTGGGACAGTCTTTGCTTTGGGACAGGCTTTGCTTTGTCACAGTGGGAGGATCAGGATTTGGGGGCCCAAAAGGAAAGGCCCAACAAACTGAACATTGATAATAAATCAAAGAACAACTCTGGAAAACATATTCTACTTTAAACACAGTTCTGCAGGCTAAATAATGCTTGGCTCCAGTTTAAGTTAAGCTAGCATTAAAAATCTAGTAGGAGCCCTCTAACTACTTTGGCACCTCCTTTTAAACTCAGGCTGTAATTTGGCTCCAGTTTGCAAACCGTAATCTACATCCTAACCCAAGTGTGAGAATATGGACCATGGACCCCTCATAGCCTCCAAATTAAATATTACTTAGAGCAGAGTTAAAGCAGCAACAGCAAAAATCCATTTACAAGCTTGTCTTGAACTCTGCTCTCATAAAAGCTCCTGGCTTGTCTTCTCTGAATCGTTTTCTCCAACATTAATCCTAAACGCTTGCCTCTCTTTTAGAGGCTGCTAAAAAATTTCAGTTTTACTCCTCCATGTTTTTACAAGCTCTGTATGAACTCCTACCTGCTTAATTGTCTCTAAAGTCTCTGGGTTAATTCTAGTTATAAAGTTGGTCTCAGTACAGGCATAGTAGTCTTCGCCAATGGGGTAGACATTAACCAGGGCGTTATCAGTGACCTCCACACCTTTGAAGTATGAAAAAAACCTGAGCAAAGAAAAAAAAAACCAACAGTCAGGGATTTCTTGGAAGTAGAAATTCCATAGCACATCACCGCAGCAAGTCCTCTCAGTGATCTTGAGCTACCTGGAGAAAATATTCTTGCACGGATCTGGATAAGCATAGGTGCCAAACTCCGTTATCACAATTCGCTTCTCAGTCATTGCCCTCACATAAGCGTCGGTCCTAACAAACCTAGAGAAGGTGAGAAAGAGAGGAATCTTATTGATGGAGTCATAAAAATGGACCAGGCTGTGTAACTAAACTGAAAATATTCTTGTGATGAAACCTGTAAGACCTTCAGAAACTGTGGACCTAAAACCACAGGGCTTTGCTGGGGGAGAAGCGTCACGCTGCACCTAGTGTGGACAAGGTCCTGGCACCTGCTTCTCCCCTTCAGCTGCTGAGCTGGGAGCACAGGGAAACTCGTGATCAGCTTACATCTGAAGTTGATCAGAAATATGACATTTTGATCATTTATTCTTCAAAGACCTGAAAACAAATAGGTCTACAATTTTCAACTGAAAATACATTTTAGTTTTCAGAATAAGTTGTAGTTCTGTCTCTTCCTGACTGTAGCCACAAACAATCCTCTCTGCTCTGATCTTCTCACCTATACAATAAGTTTTGTAATCTTCCATGGAAAATGTAATCCATGTAATGTTTTCCATGGAAGTGTAATGGGAAGTGGTGCATTTCTGCTAAATATGAGTAAGTTTGAATTATTTTCCGCCCTCTCCAACGCTCTCACCATTAGAGCTCTTCCAATAACTGCCCAGACTTGAAATCAAGGGGGAGCCTCCCATGTGCTAGATAGCGGAATCTGGCCCCAACACATTACAGTTTAGCAAATGTTTCATATTTTGCTTGGAAGTTTTCCTCATACCTTCGATGGTATGTAACATGACCCTCCTTAAAGTCAAACTTGTGAAGAAGTGCTTGGCCATCAAACAAATGATAAAATGGCTCTGCACCGACCTCAAACAAGCCAGGTCCACATCTGAGAAGACTTCCTTTAAGCCAGGTGGGAATCCTACCTGTGGAAAATATAGTTCTGTATACATACAGACCAAGGTAAATTAGACCAAGTAGTTGTTCATGTATCAACAAGAATAAAATGATTTAGTCCATTTCATTTTTACCCCTTGGTCATTAAACATTTTTAAACAAGAGATCATGCATTCTTATGAACCTCTTGAACTATACTTTCTTCCTCTTCTACAGACTCAGCAGAGGATGCCCAACCCCGAAAAGTCTAGAGATTCCACATCCAGTCTGTGCTTCCTCTACTCCAGAGTACGGCAGATCCACATTTCAGCCACGCGCTCCAGGACCTCCAGCACCTCTGTGAGCTGGTGACCCACGTGCTTTGAGAATAAAAGCTGGGCCCGGAAAGAACGTGAAAGGAGATTAGTGCGACCATACAAACCTGTGACATGAGCAGTTACCGGAGAGGACAACTCCTCCACAGTCTCAAAGAGCTTCTTGTACCCTCCAGCAGGGTGTTCAACTCTGAAAGAGTCACGAGACCTTGAAATCAGCTTGATTTGGAGGAGCTTTGGGAACCCACTAGAGCAATGGGATTTTGCTTCTGGATGGAATAATTTGTGACTTGCAAATAACTTGACAAATCAGCAGGGAGAAGCACTAGCCTTTGTAAGAAGGCTTCAAAGGCTCTGAGAAGCTGCAATAGCAGATTACAAATAGTCTGTGTCTAGAGACTGAGTGTAGAGATGAATGAGAAATAACAGGACACTTGAGTGCCTCAGCCCCTACTGCCCCATCTCTAACAAGGCAAACACTCTCAAACAGTGCACGTTCTCAGGAGATCCTGAAACATCAGGAAGCAGGCCAACTTTTTAGAATCAGAAATCCGGCTTCTAGTTCCCAGGTTTCTGATAGTTGTTTCAGGGAAAAAAAAGGAGAAAAACAGCTTGTATTCAAGCACTTAGCTGAGAATTATTTCAATTTTAGTCTACTGCAAAGCACAGTAAGACACACCAGATTTAGGCTGGGTTGTACACGGTCCTTCCTCTCAAAAGGATGGACCATCTGCTAGTACCGGGATGGCAGCCTGTCCCTTCATAGCCCAGAGCCATTTCTCTGTACAGAATATAGCAGCACAAATACACATGCACAGAAACCACCACCCTTTTCTTCCCCCGACTCCTGCACTGACCCTCAACTTCCAGACAAATTGCACTCTTCCATACGGCTTGAAATCTCCTTCCTTGGGTATAGGTTGCAGCAGGCCCCACGACTCCCTCTTAGCACTACCGTCTGCCAGTGTTCACAAGTCCCGCAGAGGTAAGTGCATCCCACCTTGATCACCTAACGTTGGTTTGAGAGATTGCTGACCTCTTCCTCAGAAAGCTGCTTCCTGTGCAATTCTTATCTACTGCGTGAGCCTGAAATGTGGCGAGTGGACAAGGCATTTCTAGAACCACAGAACAATTTTTGCATACAATGCTTTTTACTACTGGCATTAGGAAGGAGCCGAGAGCCAGCTGAAAAAAAACCTTTCTCCCACCGCTGCCTAGAGACAAAACTCTGCAAGGGGGACTCCACAGCGGCCTGCTACGGGCCTTCGCTGCCTCTGAGGGTGGCTGGAGCAGATGTTTCCCTCTGCTGGGAATCGCAGCAGCTGCCTCTCATACCTGCCTGCCTCCTGTTCCCCGAGCCTCCCCTTGGTTACCCAGCTAAGTGCTCTGCAGCACAGCTGCACTAATCACATTTTCAGCTAATTAGCAGTTGAGACACTCGGTGAGTTTGTGCGGCCCACCACTGTATTGGCGCTTTCCTTCCTCGCCCACCACCATTGTTATCTTCTGTTTAAAGTATAACGTCAGAATAGATGCCGTATCCGATGTGCTCACCATGTGTTGTGGCTACCTTGGACCCCTGTCTTGGACGGAGCAGCCTGCTACCCTCAGAAACAGAAACCCATTTCAGCAGTAGCAGAGGGGAAATCACAGCGCCTAGCACAGCAGGCACCTCTACGTACTTTGTACGTGCTTTTGTAGCACAATTCACGCAATCATAGCGAGAATCGAGTTGCTCCTATAGAGAAAAGCCTGTAGGAATACTCACTGGCTGTACATTTTCTCCCTGATGAAGGACGTGAGTTCTCTGAAGCCAGCGGCAAAGCACAGTAGTTAGAGCTGTGTGCTGAGTATTTATATGGCTGTTAAGCCCTATTGAAGGAAGTAACAGGTTCAAGTAAACATCCCAAGCAACCAATTAGCTCACTACTGGGAACAGAAGTGGCTTTCACCACTGAAATCCTCCTGATGGTTTATTAGGTTTTGTCTTGCTGCTTGCACAAAAGGAGTCTTTGAATGTTTTGCAGAGACCTAAATTCTTCCCAAGGAGAGCGATTACAAGGCGGGGGGGGGGGGGGGGGGTGGGGGGGAATAGTGAAATGGAGTACACTCGAGTCATGCTCTGTAAGGTGCCGACCCCTTGGCACTGCTGCTCAGCACCTCGCCACCTCCTCTGGCGATAGGCCCTGCACACACTGCCCTATGTGAACAAGGGGGAAACGTTCCCAAAGCTTCCACTTTCAGCACAGGCTGAAGGTAGAAAGGAATCATCTGTGCCAAAAAAGTCACCTTGGTCCCATGGAACATGGCACATCTCTCCATCTGCTATCTCACCTGTAAAATGGAGATTAACAGCTTGGAGATTAATGAAAGGACAATAAAGATATCCAGCAGTAAAAAGTGAGATGCCATTGTCACATACTATCATTCCTATTTCCCATACACATCAGACACTAACATTTCCCTCTGTCCTAGGCATCCATGGAAAATTTTCTTCCTAGGTTTCAATATGTGGGTATAAGAACAGCAAGAATACACCACTACTTGCATCCCTCTTTGCCAGTTTTGGGACTGCCATCAGTCAAATATCAGTATCTTTCCAAGGACTGTACTGATAAATAAACAATACAGTCCTTGGAAAGAGGCAGGTTTTTTTTGCATAAACAATTTTCATTAAAAATTGCTGTCTAGCTCAAAGTAAAGACAATTTACAAGGAGAAGAAAATATTTATTCTTTTTCTTAGAAATTAAAATCTGCAAAAGTTTTGCTATGGCTTTTCTAAATGAGTGATTTTGGTTTTCCTGTTCAGTCCTTAACGCAGTGTTGCAGATTATACTCAAATCAATAGTCACAAAAAAAGCACATACAAAGACTTCTAATAATTCAATTTTTTCCCCCTAAAAATGGTTTATGAAGGCTTGTACATTGGCATCACAATTGTCCAAGAAAGTCTGCAATACTGCTATTGATATTGATAATAGTTTACATAAAACATACAAACACAGTAGTTCTTATAAAAGGACTAAGAATGTAGTCTGTGTTTTTTGTTTTGTTCAGCTTTATGCATAGTATCAGCAGTAAACAAGACAGAAATATGAAACTACCTTGATAATTATTTATTCAACGACAAAAAAACCTAGTTAAATGAGAGATTTTTTTTTTTAGGGAGTGAAGTTTTAGCTTACCTAGCCATCAGCTGCTCTCGCCATTCCCGCATCCACATTATAAGACTCTCCTAGCAAAATGCCAGTCTAATACGGTACAAAGTATTGCCAAGATATTTCACCTACTTTATTTGGCTGCAGCTGAGACAAGATGTTTCTGAATCACTGGACTTACTAACTTTGTTTTTTCATGGTTGAAAACCTGTCATAGTCAGACTCTCAGCTGATGAAAATTAGCACTTTACTTAACAGCATTGAATGACACTGTCAGGAGCCAGGATTAAAACAAATGAAAGGAGTTGATTTTTCATGCAACAGGTAGCCAAGCCATGGATTGCTCTGCCAAGGGACACTGTGAATTAAAAAAAAATAAAATAAATAGATCATACCAATTCATGTACCCCTGGGTAAGTGGAAGAAATTTACAGAAACAGAGTTCTCAAAATCACATCAAGCTCAAGAAGTCCCAAGAGCTGAACCCATGCAGAAGCTGGGAGGCTGTTAGGAAGAAGTATCATTTGTGATTGCTGTTCTTTCCAGTGCTATAAACGGCTGTCTGTCTATGGCCATGGTTTCCCCTCTCTTTCCCTTTCTTTTACTTCAGTATTCGTTTCAGTACAGTAGCATATGCTGGTATTTCTAGTTGTTTCATGAAGCAGATTTCTTAGGACTAATTCCCATGTACATACAGTAGCACTTTTACAGCAGATGTCAGATGTTAACAGTGTTTAGTTCGCACAGCCAGCACAGAGGCCTTTCCTTATAAGCTGGAATAAAGGCTCTGTTGTTGAACCATCACCTGAAACCTCCTGTCTGCTTAAAGTCCCAGTTTTCTACTGCATCTTCTTTCATTATTGTCTTTTGGGAGGGCTAAAAGTTACGCTTTCTCAGAAGGACACGAGTAAACTTTATCTCGTTTATTTTATATACAACATGGCAACTGCTGTTAGAGCATAGCCTGAAGATCACCAAGAAATTAGCTGTTAAAGACAGACATGAAAACAACGGCGCTGTAAACATTCATTTCAAAGATTAACAAGAGTAGGAAGATTACCGTCCCTCTCACTTATCTCCCATTGTACAGGATGAAGACGTTTGATAATATCATGTACATCCCTATGCAAAGTAGAAGCTCCCCATGCAAATAGAAGCTGGGCCTCCAGTGATCAAAACAATGGTGAAAGGATAAAATAAGGCATTAAACAGCCTCCATGTTAGATCTGCTGCTAAGAGATCAAGTGGAAGGTTGGCTTCCTTCTGTCCAGTTTCTGAAGAGGTAGGCAGAGAGTATTTTGATTCTTTGACACCTCCCCTTACGGTCTTAATTTTGCCACTTCTATCAGCCTGCTGCCCACAGGCAGTTGAATTTGGCCTACACAGTTGCATCACAACTCAGTGCTGAGATTAGTTATTAACATTTTATCCGTATAACCCCTTGGCTGTCATATATATACCAGTTGCTTTTTTGGAGTGACCAGGTGCCACTGCACATCAGCCAAAACTAGACCCGGTACCTTTTATGTTTTATTTGATGTTAATGGCAAGAACAGCATAAAACAACCAACATATAAGACTGTTCTTTGTTCTGAGTAATACAACTAAGAACAAGTTGTCATCGAGACCAATTGCGTGAAACGTTGCTGTCGAGCATGAGTAACAGCATCTCATCCTGCCTTTTTATGCAGGAAAGGGAGGCCACAATTTCCTTACCTCCAATTGCCAACAGACCAAGTGCTATTGCAGATGGAGATCACAAACAGATTGAAAACGCATCAAAAGAGTGCAAAACTGCAAAAGAGAAGAGAGTTTAGGATCTCTGTTTACAACCTGGTAAATGCATGTTCAAAACCAAAACAGCCTGCCATGACAGTGCACCTGAATCAGCCATAGACTGAGTGAACAGTTTCCAATTTGCCTAAAACCGTATTTATGAGAGCTAACCAGTGTTAAGTGTCACATTTCAGCTGAACATACTTTTTAATAAAAGTAAGCCACCTCAAGTGAACTAAAATAATCAAACTAAAAGAAGGGCTTAAAAAAACATCTAAATAAGCGTATATGAGCTTAATTCTCACATAATAGAGGTTAAAAAAGCCATTTTGTGTGTGCGCACAGACACACACAGTCTTTTATAAATGGCCCGCTGCTAACCCTCTGTCCACGTCACCCTATTGTTTCAGAATAAAAAGAGAGAAAGGGGACTGAAAGTCAATAAAATCACTGCTTAAATCCCCAGGACAGAACCTTTATTGTTAGTATACATGGTTTAATGCTAGTCTGCAATATACCATTTTCTCCTCTTGAGTCAGTATAAGACAACGATGAAACCATTTTACAGTGCAGGTTTCCGAACATAATTATTTTTCAAAGAATGGACAATTCTATTATTATGTTGTACACAACTGGTAGATTACAAATAACCATTAGTTCCTATCTGATGAACAGCTCCCCATAGAGAATTTCAGTTTTTGCAATATGATACTTAAAGACAGGTTTATAAAGTTTGAAATTCTCACTGAGGAGAAAAGTGACAGCTCAAAAGAAAGGTTAAGATTAAAATGAAATTTGTACCTGTCATTTATTTTGAATGTTTTAATTGTTCCCCTGCTAGTCAAATTGTCTGTTTATTCAAGTTTTTATTAAGTTTCTGTTAAGACCTTAAAAGACATTAAATAACATGGTTCAAGAACTCTGAGAACAGTCCTTTGAACGCTAAATCCTAAGAAATGTGAGCTGCTCACCTAATAAGTTGCTTAACTGGAACACAAATAAATAAAGCATTTATGCAATACTTAACAAGATGAAAATAATTAGAGTAGGTACTGGATTTGTAAGAGTAGTTGACTATAGGCATTATGGTAGGTGACTATAGGATGTCTGCCCCCTACTATGTTAGTGCAAAGATACATACAGGTCATCAAAGCATTTATTATGAATAGTGACTAAAACTGGGCTTATCTTGGTGTCTCATTTCTCATAAGGAAAAAGAGACAAGAGATATGTTGCAAGATATATATCCTACCAGATATACTCTGATTACCTTGAAGTGAATTTCTGCACTAAAACCCCATAAAGCTAACATAAGACTAATTTGATATTTTACACCAATCCCTTGACACATGATTATGGATAAGAAGTCCACAAAACTAAAGCTGTGTGGGGAAAAGTTGCATTAGTAAACACTGCTTTAGGCTAAAATTTTTTGGGTCCATTTAGAGCAAACACTCCTGCATGGAGAGATTCAGCTGTGCATTGCAGAAGCTTCCTCTGCAGCTTTCTACTCTGACTTTACTGAGGTCTTTTCCATACGATAATAGCTGTTCACTGGGAGGGAAAGGCAGGCAAGGAGAACAGCATAGACTAGAAGACCCAGAAGAAAGAACAATTCCCCTCCACTTTCTAGCATGCAGAGAATTTCAGGATTAGTTGAGATTGCATTGTGATTTACAGGAAGGAGTAGAAGGAAAAGAGAAAAATTACCTCCTATCACTTCATCTGGTGGACCAAAGAGATAAGTACCCTAAAACATAAGGTCTGGGACCAGTGAATCTCCACATGTGTGGCCCTGACCTTCTGGGGAACCTGCAATCTCAGGGGCAAGAACTGAGGACTGCTTAAGCAGTTCCTCACCGAGATAATGCCAGGACTCCTCATGAAGACCTCTTCCTGCACCAACAGTTCTAACCTAGAACATAAAAGCTGGAGCTGACATACACAAAGAAATCAAACTTAAATATATGGGAACACAACAGAATGCAAAATTACAACCTTAATCACTGTAGGAAGAATTTCAGGTGGTACAATGAAAAGGGATGAAGATCAGGAATCACTTTATACTAAACAGTTTATTTCATTTTTTTTAAAGTAAAAACATTCTCTGTTTTGTTCATTTTTTTCATCTTAAAAAGCAACCAACGCAAACAACCCAACTTTTTGAAACGGCGGGCCACTGTGCAGAGAAGCAATGCTCAGTTATAAAGAACAATTAAATATCAGATGCAGAATGGAAAGGTATTTTAGCTCAGTTTTTCCAAGGGAGGGGAGAACAACCTGAGAGAACCATAGCAATTATGTTTTATGATGTTAATATACATAAGTGACAACCCTCAACTAAGACCTTTAAAAATAACACTGACAAAGTATCTGAGCCAGTACATTTTTGTACAAGATTCTATTATGGAACCTCTCCATGAGATGCCAGAAAAGGAATATCCAGGTAAACAGATTAGCAGCTTTTGAGATTTACTGTCATTTTGATTATTTGCTTGTTTTTTTTATGACAATTATTGTATGAGCCTGTGCAGGTACCACAGGAGTTCAGTGTCTTGTCCTAGAAATGACAAGCCATGACAAAGCATATACAATATGTCTACAGTGCACAGCTCAGAGTTATGTGGATAACCAAACAAGATAACACAGATAACTAAGCAGTTCACACCATGGAAAAGCACCCATCCTTTACACACTATTTCAAATCTCTCGAAAGCACAAAACCAATGAATAAAAAAACCCCCTTAAGATGAAAGCAAAGGTAGACTTCAAAGGTACCTACTCTTATGAAGCCCGATGCTTGCCACGCATCCTTTCCATTTTTCTGCAAATGCAGCCAAACAAGCAGATGAATAGTTGAAGATTTATCCAGAAGCAATAATATAACTGAAGTGTAAAAGAGACACAAATTCCTTGCAGCAAAAAAACAATTTTGACATTGTTCCAAAAGCAGAATGGTTTCAGTGTATGGCAATTTATTGACTGTGATATCATGAGCTTAATGAAACCTTTGATCCAAGTAGAAGAGATACCATAGCGAAACAGGTATTATGCAGCGTTAAGCCCACCTGAATAACAATTCAGATTACACTGGAGACAGAACATAGGTTGGAATGCACACCTGAAAAAAAAATCACGTGAACAAATACAAATGCAAGTTGCTTTGCTTGAGGCTAAGAGCTAACATTCGAGACACTGAATTGTATACATATGGCTGGCAGAAAACCAAGCACAACCAGCACTTACATAAAGGACGTCTGTTGTACCTTACTATTAAGCAGTAATTTTGGCTCAGTATTGGAATACACAAAAACAACTGGATATAAACAAGAGCATACATAGAAACTACATTTCACATGGTGGACTCATTCCCTCCAAGAATCTTTAGCTACACTATAACACATTAGTCAACTCAACTGGAATACTTATCACCTAACCTTCCCTACCCTAACTGCCCACAAACAGAGCTACACCATTGCCAGCACCGGTTTTTAACCCCATATCATCACGTTCTTATTGGACTCAGACGACAAGGCGATGAAAGAGTTGCGTTCAGACAGAAGCAGATCACTAGTGCTACTACTTGCAGCACGTTTTCTATAAAACCCTTAAAACTCACACAATTTGAAGTTACTCCAGCACATAATAATCATTTTCCAGATTAGAAGCAGCAATAGCCATAGGTCTCATATTAGAGTTCATTTTGGGCACGTTAGCTGACAGTAGTTACAGATTACATCTTTCCAAAACAACAACACTTATGTAAACGATGTTTCATTGAATCCTTAAAAAGTTCATTCTTTCATGGAACTTACTGCTATACTGCGCTGTTTTAACCATGTTGCAGGAATTCTAAAGAAAATTTAATGCAAATTCTTTTCCTGTTAACTGCCCAGGTTCTACCCCCATGCTGCCAGTTGCAGACAGTTCTTCTGTCTTAGAGTTTAACGTAGAGAAAACACATAGGCAAAGCGAGCAAAAATTACAATAGAACAATTTGGGAAAACAGAAGGATTTCAGGCTTCCTTTATGAAGGTTTGACATTTGGAGGAAGAAAAGCATTCATTTTGTTTCTGAAACCCACCACTGAACGCTTCATCATCATTCACCAACTGTGACTTTATAAATTTGTTGCCTGAAGCATGCTTGACTAAATATTGAACTGAGACCTCAATTATGAAAGCACTTGTTTTGAATTGTCTTCTCATAAAAGGACTCATGCCGATTCACATCTTGTGAGGCAGTCTTGGTCGCATCAAATTTAAGCGAGCAAACTGCTAACTCTAGAAACAAAAGAGTAAAGTTTAATCTATTCTGATTCTGTTCTTTGTCACTTCACATATAATCCATCCCCTACATTATGCTGTTTAAGAAGCTTATCAACAGGTCTGAAATCAGTTTTCCATACAAGGTCAGAAACATGTCCAAGACTTAAATTTTTGTAAATTTATTCATATTAAGACAGCTTTACAGAGGAGATGAACATAAATATTTTATGGAGTTAGACAATCACATTTATATGGCAATTTCTGGCTCCCTTGGAGACAACAGAACCAACTTTTTAATTAGTCCCAACCTCAAAGAACACTGTTTTGTTTAAAGACAAGTATTTTGAAAACTCAAGGAAGGCACTTATTCAGGACATAAAAACAATTAAAAGCCTACTCAAATTATATAGCATAAATTCCAGAACAGACCTTAAAAAAAAGTTACTATTATATGCATATCATCAGTTTCCCCATACGAAAACCATATATAAACTTTTGGTTACTAATAGCTTCAAGCTTGGTTTCACATTTATTTTACTGAAGAACAATATATTGAATAATTTGTAAACATATAAATATTTATTTCTCTCTGTAGTCATTTAAAAGTTATTTCCAGAAAAGTGTTATTTTGGCACCTTCAGTATAGTGTCCATGTAAACATTTATTCCTTCAACATACACAACCACCATCAAATTTCCATAGCGATTGCCCTTTGGTAAACCATTCAAACATCCATTAAATATATGACTGAAATGTGGTTAAATTAGTATCTTAGGCTACGAAATTTTGGTTTTCTTAGGCTAAGCATTGGTTGTTTGATGGTAGGTTTGCTCTCAAATAGCATAGCCTCATTTTCTGTAGTAGGAAATCTGTTCCGGTAGATCAGAGGATATTCCTTCTGAAACTAGAAAACATAATCAAAAAAAATTTTTAGATCAGAATCCATTAAAAAAAAAAAACACAAAACAAAAAACCCACACAACAAAAAAAACACCACACAACAACAACGTGCACTTGAGAATGAATGACCTTGAACAGATACTTGTCAGTGGGAGGAACAAAACTATCAGCATATAAAATAAGTCTTCTGTGACACCTCACCAAGGCTATAGCCCTTGCCATACAAGAAAAGGCCACCTTGCACGTATGAGTTCACAATTCATCAACAACGAATCAGAGATTTTACTGGACGCTTCATCTTTTGCTGAAATGGGAGAAGTTTCTCATCTCATTTTCTTCCCAAGGAGTCCTGTGACTGGAATAGTGCTATAAGCAAGAACTCTACTGGTCTCGAATAATTAACTAATTGCCTTCATTGCCATTTGAAATGGCAGTCCACAGTTGTTCATGACATTGCCTATCAGCTGAAAAACATTGCAGTGCTGCTTATTACTTCTGTCACTGTCTATTTAATTCTAAACAGTATGATAAATTGTCAGTCTCCAAGAGAGGCATGGCAGTTGCCCATTTAAAGTCACACTGTCCAGCCAGCACTGGTACATACTCTGTTTACACTTGGAAAGCTGTCATTGAAGAATCACAATGATGAATACGTTCTACCTAAACGGAAATTAAGATTCAGCAGATTTTAAAGGTATTCTTTCAGAAAAGCTTACTACTTAACCAGGGGACAATTTATCAATCCTCGCCAGATACACAACTTAACAAAAAGTATCTGGCTTCAGAGACATGCTTTTAACATCCTGTCTGGTGTGGTGGGTTTTTTTTGTTTTTGTTTTTGTTAAATGCAAGGCCTCAGGAAGGAAAGAATACTGGTACTTGTATCTATGCATCAGGAAAAGCTTTCTGTTGATTGATTCAACCTACTGAAAATGACATCATTTGTAATTTGGTATTGACATAACTTGGATCTATCCCTCTAGGAAGTGTCATGTATTTGGCTTTCCCCAATTCAAAGTACCAATACAGAATAATGGCTTGTAAAGGTTGCAACTGCTACTAGTTATCCCAGCACAAATGGAAGACTGTAATAAGGGTAGTTCTACAAGTTAAAAACCAAAAAAATTCCACCTCTGCTAATATTACAGTATGAGCAGACGAGCAGCAAGTCAGATGCAAGGCTTCTGGATTTTGGTGGGGGCTTGCTAAAAGTTTAAGTACATACTTCAAGTTTTACTATTAGAGGATTTTAATTTATTTCCTTCCTCCCTGCTTCACTTGCTCAGAGGGCTGCTGTACTTCACTTCTTACTGCTTCTTTACTCAAAAGTTTTAGTCTACTGTAATTAACTACTCTTTCTTTCATGCAGGAAATGTCAATAAACTTAAAAATGGAAGACTGGACTTTCGCTTATGTGACCAAAGTTCAGAAGTTTTCACAACACATTTTAAAAGAGAGAGAGAGAGAGAGAGAGAGAGAGAGGGAAGGAGGAAATGCACAAGCTTTGAAAAGCTGCTTTTTCAAATTTGAGTCACAAGACTTGCTTAAGAGATTGTAGAACAAGTACAATACTATTCAATTGATCAAAGATACTTGCCAGAATTTTTCTGAAAAAGAAAAAAAAAATCCTCCAGTGTTAAATCCTGCCAGAACTGTTGTATTTTAGCTTTACTATTTAGGCAACATGTTAGTGGGCCATAAAAGAACTAGATAATCTGGGACAATATTCATGTTATAAAACATAAAGCCAATTCCATGGAAAAGAATGCTTCAAAATTGTAAACAGATAGAGCTTGAACTCTGAAAGAGAAAAATCACTACTTTTTGCCTCCCACTGATTTTAGCTCTACCCATGGCATTTTACTGGTAACTTGCATAGCTTGGATGCTGCAAAGAGCAACATTCAATTTCTATCACGCACTATTTAATAGGATCTTACAATGATTTTCTACCGTGTTCTTAAGCCATTGTTTGTCTGAACACCACGACTACTAGGCACTATCAAACACTGTATTAGACACTGTCTTAAAAAAAAAAAAAAAACACACAGAAGATGCAATCAAAGACATTAAACTTAAAGTAGATTTACCTCTCTTCTATCAAGCAAGTATTTCTTCCTATGCAGTCTGTTCACGTTGTGTGCCAGGGTCTAGTGACTGAATTCATCAGCGCTTTCCTCCACAAGAATGTTCTCAGAAATAGATTAAACATCCACCAAGTTTCTTACCTGTTTTAACTTCTTCTTTTTGTCTTTCAGAGACAAGTTCCTATCTTTGATAATGTTCTCCAAGAGGTCTGCCACTGCAGCTTGAGAGGTAGACAGCTTTTGTTCTTCAAACTCCTGAGGAGTTATTTGTTTACAGTATGAATATGTGGGCAATATGGCACAGATTTCTTCCCTTGGATATTTGCACTGAAACAAAAAAATCAAACCTACATGTATTCAAGTGATTATGCACTATTTCAGGAGGATGCCACTTTATTAACACCCAAGAACATTAGCTTACGATGGCACTATAAATCGTAATACATTATAACGTAGCTAACACCAACGATTACACAAGTAAGTTTAATAATAGAAGTCTGAATTTAAAATACCATGGTTTTATTTGCAATTTTCCCATCCCACCTTAGCAAGTAACAAATACTCTGCAATTAGCAAAGGTACTTCATGCCACCAACCTGGGCGATCTTCATATATTCTATGTGATCTTGCACTGCAACCTGCAGGTAAGTTGGTACTTTAAATACTTCTTGTTGATGGTCCATTAGAAATGAAACTAATCGTGTAGAAAGTAGCTCATCAAGATCTACCTCTTCTGCACAGCATAACACACATCGAGAAAAAGTCTGTATCATCTGGAAGTGTTTAGCACATCATTAGTACGTTGAAGGATTTGCCTTCTTTCCAGGCTATGGTGTTTCACAGTGAAGTCTCCAATACCAGCTTTCACTGCAGCATCTCTTGCCTGCACCATCAGTCAAGAGACAGGGGAAAAACTGCTTATCATTTTTCCCCTCACCCAAAATAGAGCAACTTCTCTTTTAAGGTTAGATTTGTACTTTTTTTTTGGTACTGAATAGTACCTTCACTTGAAAAATATGCATTTTAAAGAGAAACGTAAAGAAAAAGTGTTCCTTTGTAGAAAAATGTACATCTTCAATTAATGGCCTTGAGAGACAAGTGAGACAACAAAAAAGCCTGCAGAGCCAGCCTAAGCAAAATTTAATGCACGCCAAGAACCAGCTTTAAATACCTTTTCAAAGCTGTCACGGTTTTAAAGCTTTCAGCTGGCTTTCTTTAATTAACACGTGCAGGTACTTTATTGTTTTATCTAATCTTATTTGCTGCAAATATTACAAAAAAATCTTTATAGCCTTTCCAACGAAAGCTTACCTTCAGACCTAGAAAATTAGTCTTTAAACCTATCAGGCAGAAAGACTCCCTCTTCTCTAGGGCTGTTCATGTTGTAACACAAGTGTTTAGCCCAAGAAATGTTTTCCACAGACACTTTAACATTTAAAGTTAAATGATGTTGCAATTGGGGGGTGGAAAAATCAGACTATACCATCATTTGCATTCTTTCCAAAAATTATTCCCCTTCTCCTCCCAAAAGGAAACAAAAAAATCAACGTCCGTATTTTAGATATGTTAGGGAAGAGTCCAGAAAGGAAAAATCTAACTCGAAGCAAGCACTAACTATTCAGGAGATGAAAGATCTGTCCATTAATCACCAGATGTACTGCAATGAGACAAGACCCTAAAGTTCAGAATACTACCTGTACTCTCAGCAGTATTCTTAAAACAACAGACACGCTGCACCTAACAATTCTCTTTGAAAGACTTTCCTTACCAAAGAACGCGTGCCCATTGCATCATGCAGTTGTGGCATATCAACGTTTTCACTGATCCGAGAGATCATACGCATCAGGAGCTGAATCTTTCTACGATTTGGAGGTGGAAGCAATAAACAGCATATCTGTAGTGCTTCAATAGCAATCCTTTCTAAATGAGGCTGAAGGAGATCTACAAGTTAATTGTAAAAGAGACAGCTGTCATTAAGATTTACAGCAATTTTCAAAACATTTTTACCTCAGCAAGAGAAATTTCTTTTTTTTTTTCCCCCCAATGAAGACAATCCCTGTTTCACAGCAATCAGTGGTAACAGAAGTAGATCAATATTAGGTGGCCTTTTCTTTTTGAATAGCCTTCTTCAACTCACTTTGGCACAATAGAATTCTGGTACCATTAAGACCATAACATAATTCAGGACTAATACTAACTTACTCCAGAAAGTATTAGCCAGAAAATGCATTTCAAAGACTATAAAAAGACATTTCCTGCAATAGGCAAGTCTCTGCAAATTCCCTTCCTCAATCATATACAGCGTTTAGGTTGTACTATCACTTACCTGAACAGAAAGGTAAATTACTAACACAATACATTCAAGAATCCAAAGATACTACATGCTAATATTTGTTAGGAGAGGTATGAAAGTCTACCTTAGGAAAAGTGTATCTTCATAAGAACTTTTTTTTTTTTTTTAAAATACAAATCATGCTATAGGGATATTAAAAAAACCTAGCAAGTGTCAAAGAGAGCAAGAAAGCAGATTAGTTAGTCAACACAATAAGCCAATACAACATGCTTTAGAAAGCATCTTACTTTGCGTGGCAGTCAACACATAAGAATCATGAGTGCAAGAATATTCTGAAAGTTCTGTGGTACTTTTGCAGAGTCTTTTATTGATGGTGATATCAGAAACCTTTGTCTTGATCTCCACTGAAGCAGCCACACCAGAGGTACTTGGATTTCTTTGCCCACAAAGTCCAGACCTTGGTTTTACAGTGATTTCAGCAACTGGTATATTAATGCTAGCACAACTTTTGGAGTTTCTTTTGACAAGCAAACTCCGAGATCTGCATATTTGCTTCAACTGGTGATTTTCACTAAATAGCTCTTTATCCTGAATAGTTGACGTGGACACTGTCTGATTACAAGTTTGATTTTGACACATATTATCCAGGTCAAGTTCCAACATAGATTTATTTTTACATTCACAGAGTAGTGGTCGGTTTTCATTTCTAGTGCCCAAGACTACGTTCACATCAGTTTGCCTGGAGGAATGTGATTCTCCTTTATTACATAAGCTTGAGGTAGCATCTCCAATTCTTTCCAAAGAGTAACATCTCGTCCTAAATTTTAGGGGTAAATCCTGTTCGCTCTTTAAACCAGAAAGATTTTGACAACTTCCTCCTATTAAATTATCAACGCTGCCTTGTTTACATGTCAGTTTCTGTGGATACAATTTCTTTGCACATCCCTTCTGAACGGTTAGCTCTTCTGCAGAAGACTTCCTGGAAGTTTCATATTCTTTCTTTTTTTTCTCAGGGTCTTTGTGAAGTAGGCTTAGAAGAAGACATTCAGTTGACTTAAAAGAGTTCAAGTGCAGAATTTTTGAAGATTGTAGATTACATGTCTCATCTTGGACAGAATGTTTCCCATTGCATATATCTGGAATTGTGATGTAGCCACATATAACTATTAGAAAATGAAATATAAATTAAGATGCAAGTGACACGAAAATTAACAAGTTTAGAAAGAAATAAAGTTGCTAAGCGAATAGAGAAATCAACAAATATAAGACATTAGTTTATAGCTCAGTTAGTAAAATCTAAGAAAAAATTAGCTCAGTCCAGAAGCAGTTTAAAAAGGCAATTGCAACCATCACAATACACGTGCAAGATTAAAGAAAGTTAATACATTGCAATAGGGAGGAATAGACAGAGATGACCACATATTTCTAACTTACAGCTATGGCATATTTAGAATGTTAGATCGGACAGCAATTTACACAGGATATCACGAGATATAACTACATTTCAATTAATATTGTAACACAGAATGACAGCATTGCCGATTTTCCTTTGATTCAAGCTGCCATATGGATTAGGGGTCAAGTTCTGCTTTGAACTACAGATTTGTTTCCCCAGTTGATATATAGGTATAGTTTACACTGACTATTTCTAAATTCATACATACCTAAAATATTCACAAAAAGTTCATAGTACTCAAAAGTAAGTAATGGTTCAGGGAGACTGAGAAAGTAATCAGCAACTGTTCTGAATACATCTCGTTCAAACCCACTGTACATTGGCTGGCTCATGTCATTATTTCTAGGCCCTAAAAGAGAGGCGAAGAAAAGAAAAGTCACAAAAGTATTTACTCTCACAATTCCATGCTATAAAAAAGTAACATTAGAAGTTTATTTTTTGTGGGAATGACTGTATTTTTTACAAGAGAATGTCAGCCATATCCAAATATTATGTTTTTAGTTCAGCACTGTACCATTTGTAAGCAGAGAAAATGTAAAATATTGTCTGTAGCCACTGAGAAGTTGTGCTCAACAAGCTGTTCCACAGCAGTAAAATAAATGAAAACTCATTTATGCACTTTATATGTCCTCATCAAAATAATCATGAGCTTTTAGCATTTTCCACCATTTCTAAACTACAGTCATCCCAATTGTCCCACAGGCAGCTCTAGCTTCCAGAGCAAGAAGAAACTCAAAGTATGCCCAAATTGTGTATGCTGAGAAGCCAGCCAATTCGTACACATTACTTTATGCATAAGCCAAAGTGAGCTTGTAAGTGTCCTTTCCTTTTGTGGGGATCTGTTCTCTTTGCAACTCCTCTATTCAAATGGTTTACCAAGAGGAAGTTTTGTTCATAACTATTCCCATGGATGATCATAGTTACATCCAACTAATTTTCTTCAAAATTGGACAGGTAAGCAATCCAGTAACCTAAGCGTTCTGGTTAATAAATCTTGCCTGTTTTGCTACATGGAAGAAAAGGAATGAATGAAAGTGGTCCTGGAATGAATAAAATTTGACATTGTGAAGATCTTTAATCCTAGAGTTATTATACACCACTAAGATAACACATACAAAAGAAATAAGCTGCCTTATAAAGTAAATTCTAAGGAATTAGAAGATGGTGCTTTTAATTAAACATAGAACCAGGAAAAATATAACTTTTTATTTGATCAAGCTTTATAACCATGATCACATTAGCATGTACTACAAATGAAAATAGCTAAAAATATAGTAGAACATATTTCCCCCCCAGTCTAAATACTTTTAGCTTTCACTGTGCAAAGCAACTTCTGCCTTAATCATTTGGCTACAATACAGCTCACAGATGAAGAGATCATATCTCCACTTAAACTAATTCACTCAGAATTGGAAAAACATATTGACAATTCAAAAAAAAAAAAAGCCCATTCTCAGTCTATTTTCAATACATGAATGCAATTCAGGATTACAAAAGCCTATTAATTCTAAATACACAACTTATGTGGAGATTAATGTACCTAAATGCTTATAAATCAGTGCTCAATCCTATTTTAAACTTGGATTTAAAATGTAACTCACCAAACTCTTCCCTGTCCTGCTTTTCCTAATAGCACTCTTCATGTAAGAGGCTCTATAGTTTCTGATAGTTGAAGACAAGGAAGTAATTTTCACAAGAGCGTATCCTGCAAACTGAACTTTCGAAGTTCAGTTCCCCACATGGACTGCTACCACTGTTGCTACTGAACAGCCAGAAAATATATGCAAGTGAATAAACACATCATCCAACTATGTCATAGTCAGTATAGCTTTCAGTGGAGGTAACGGAGATTGCCAGGAACAGGGACAAGAGTTAAATGGCAGGGCAAACACAAGCGCTCATCGTCTCAGATCTCAGTTGAGAGGCACTAGTTCTAGTTCTTGTGTGTCCTGTTAGCCATTCAGACAGACTGCTTGGGTGGGGGTAGGGAAATCCACACTATCCTCTACTTCTCCAGAACCTTTTCTGAACTGGTTTCGTAAAGATACAAAGCTTATGTAATTGTGATCGGCCTGTGTAACACAATTTCAAACACGCCTGACAAAGAAAGCCTCAGTGACTTTCTGTGCAGTTTTTTGTAAACTGCAACAGCTTTTTGTTTAGCGCCTCTTTATCTCACGTGTTAATACCAGAACAAGAGATGAATACAGACTGACTCACTTCTGCAGATAATGAAAATTCATTTTTAACAGGTAAAAGTCTGAACCAACCTAGTCTAGAATGTAATGATTCATAAGACATCTAAGGCCTTCATTCCCCCCTGTAAAACTGTAACTATAAAAGGTGTCTTAGTATGCTTTAAGCATAAGCTTTTCCCAAACAGTGTTAAAGAAACACGTGGGGAAGCAGATAAAATAAATAATAATTAGATAATCTTTATAGGCTGGAAGAGGATGGTTCCACTGAAAGCTTACAGACTTAATTCTCCCATTGATTTCATGGATTAAAGAACACTAACACCCCTTCTCATACTAAATTGAACCTTCATGTTGCCAGAAATTCACACACAGGTTCAGAGGATGCAACCTGGAAGTTAAATAATTAGCTAGACATTACATTTGAATGCAATAATTTGAGATGAATTGCTTTGATCACTTCTTAGTATGTGAGAAGTGGTTTGGTTTATCTGGATTTCCAAAATGAAACATCACAGTTGATCTTAAAATGCAAGTATTTTTCACTTTCGACCCTCAACATGAGCTTCTAAACTTAAGAGCTATTCCATGACTTACAGTAGGCGAGGCATTTCATAGCTGATAACACCCAGTGAGGGAGGTCTTCTAAAATAAATAGATAAGTATATTATTTATACATAACCACAAAGACTTAATAATAGCCAGTATAAATAATGGCACATATGTACAAAATAATACGACAAATAAGAGATCAAATTGAATTTTTTAAAATTAAAGATTACTGCTATACACGTGTACTTCTAAAAGTGAATGTAAACACACCTACAAAACCTTCCAGATAAATATACTGGATTGTTCTCTAATTTGGAAAAGAAAGCGTAAAGGATACACTATGAAACCTACTGCCTTAGTTAATTTATTTTAGATTTTATGTATAATTATTTACTGCTGGACATAATTAGATCATACAGAAATTTTAAATTAAGCAAAATCAGAAAAAAAATCTAACCTGATTTGTTCTGCAAAATAACAACACCATGTTTACTTATGTTAGTCATATTGTATATGACGTACTCAGGAATTATCTGTGACGGCCGCAGAACTTCTTCCAAAGATGGGAGGCCTAAAATGGTTTGCAAACTGTTGGGAGGAAGAGAACAGATGTTTCTTAATACTAAATGAAAAAAATTATTTCCACCTCTATTCAAAAAGCATTTACTTGATAAGTGAATTTGCAGTTTAAAAGTTTTCATACCCAGAAGGACAACTTGAGAATATGCTTGTTCCTGGGACAAGCGCCAAAAGAAATAATAAAAAAAAAAAAAAAAAAGCAACTATGGTACTTAACATGTACTTCTACAACACCTTCAACAATTCTCTTCAATAAGTTTCCTAGAGTCCAACATTCTTAATGTTAATACATATAACAGAAAGTATGTAAATTTCGCACTGTTTAGTGCGGATGTTCACCCTAAAACATAATTATTTAAAAAAATTTCGGAAAAATTTGCAAGTCAAAAAGCTTAATCCCTGCATTGCAGATACCAAACACATACACAAGAAAGTACTTTGTACAACACTTTACAATTTATTACTTACTGTATCAGAATGATATTTCTCCAAATTTCTTGTACATATTCCTGGCTTATTTCCTTCCTGTGCAGGGCACCTTCCTTGTTTTCCTTTATTATATCTGGTTCTGTTTTTTCTAAATTTTCCTGGAAATGAGCAATGTATACATATGAGATAAATGATAAATATGCATGTAAAATAATTTTTGAGTTAAGATGTTCATATTTAAGTAGAAATTATTCTCAAATATATAGGAATTTTTGCAGAACACTGAATTGTAGAATGCTAAGTTCCAAAGCTTGTTCCAGTGAATAACTTAAGCAGTCTCAGCATTAAAGTGTAAGCACACCCTATTTTAAAGCAAAAGGACAATATGGAACAAACTCTTTCAAGAGTTAGCAATTTAAACAGTGGAAACACGTAAAATCCTAACATTAGGAAGACAAGAATCCCCCCGTGGTATCACAGTCTAAATTCACAAAGTATGCACATGCACACCCACCTCAAGAGAACAATAATAAAGGTCCAAACATTTGCGTTCTGTCTTTTTCAGCAAAGTAAGTAGAACAGTTAACTAACTGGTGCCCTACATTTAGTTGCACTAAATACAAAATATTTTAGGTTTCTACCAGATCATATTGTTCTGGTTACTTCTAGAACCCCTCCTTCCAGCCCTCCCAATACTTTAAAATACTGCAGGAGGGATAATGCTGCATTGAAGGACAGTTAAAAATTGATATAAACCCAGATCATTCTGATGCAAAATTAGCCCTATATTACAGTGTGTGGGGATTAGATAATGTAGCAGCATTAATAACACCCCCTGTCAACAAACCTATTGCCAGTATAACATTGAGAGCAAGAGATCAGCTTCATGTAGGTTTAAGACTGCATTTAATTTCACCTGTCAGATGCACAAATGCTCCCTTTCACTTGCTGTCAGTGTCTCAATAATTCCACGTTACAGTTACTGCTATGATTTTTCCACATGTGTATTTTGCCTGAACATATACAGGTTATTTAATTTAATATCTTATACCCCAAGCTCTCTTTATACATGCAGGAAGAGAAACAGCACATATTATCAGGGTACTGTATTGCAAAATATAGCTTCATCTTTCTATTATACCCATTTAAATGCTGTATTACACTGTATAGGAGATCCTGTCAAATTATTTCTTCAGACAGAAGGAAGGATAACACAAAAAACAGAACGGTTTCACTAAAAGATGGCTGCTTCTAGTCTTTGGTTTTTGTTGTTTCTTAGGATAAAGAAATACACGACAACCACAGTTAAAGAAGGAATGTAAGTTATTACCAGAGACTTCAGTAATTCATGTTTTTTAAGAGTTCTCCTGGATAAGTGTGGCAATTTGAGAAGTTTTTCTTTGTCTCTAGAGAAGTTTTCTGAGTTCTGTTTTGATGGACACCAGGTTGGTAGAGGTTTAAGTGGAGAGGTTGAAGGAAACCTGTAATTTATTGGAGAGATGTTAAATACATTTAAAATAGATTAAAAACCCAACAAGTCACTTAACCAAAATCATATCCTATCATTGTGACTCCATAAGATTTTAAAGAAGTTCATTGAATTAAGAAAAAAAAAATGCTGAAAATTTTTCTTTAAAACATTGTTTAACCTAACTATATTGTAAGTTAGCTTTGGACCACTTTTCTCAATTCCAAAATCAAGCTGAAGATACTCAGGTATTTATACAGCAGAGAGACTAGACTCTGAGAAGCAAGGGACATTAATACCTTTAACTTAAGAACTTAGGGCAGGCTTTGTTCCTCACTTAGCCTTTCTGTAAAAATACAAGAGATGAAGTAAACACAGGACTGGTAGCACAGCATACAGCTACTATAAGAAGTCCTCTTTGGCTCCCCACAAAAGACCTTAATTTAGTACACGTGCCAGGGAAAACCTTGGACAGACAGCAAGCATGCTAACACCACTCAACAAACAGGATTTGGGGTCTAGCAGTCAAACTGTGCTAAAAATCAATTTGAGGCCCATTGCTCAACCCAAAGCAAGATCTTTTTGAGACCCGAGCACTAGCATTTTAAAATAAAATTCTCAACCCAAAGAGCTCTGTTAACTAGTCTTCATTTCAGGCACATCTTTACAGTACCTGTACAGGCCACCATTATCTTCTAAATTTTCCGATCCCCATCTGCCTTTTATATCCTCAATTACATGATTCTTGAGAAACTTTCTTAATAACTGAATGGTCTGTTGCCTAGTAACTTCTGGACCAAAGTTACTATTATTCTTCAATACGTCATGAAGCCAGTCTACTGCTTCTGATGCAGTAAAACAACTTCCATGTTTTTTGAAATGTTGCCTGTGTTTCCTTAATGGCATCCCTGCTCGGAAATGTTTAGTAACTTCATTCCACTGCATGGGAAACAAAAAAAGCAATGACAAGAGAATTAAAACCTAAAGTCTTATTAAATGTAAGACATATTAATACATAGCAATATAATACAAATATAGAAATATAAATAATATTGATGCTACTATTATTAAATATAATACTAAAAATCTTTTAATAGTACCATATCAATAGTTTACATTTAAAGTTCAGATTTAAAAGTATGTAAATATATTTAGGCTTTTGTCTTCTATTTATATAACTGAAAATAACGTTAAAGTTTCAGAAAGATGACAAATCTTATTGATTCAGTGTGCATACTTCCACCACTTGCATAAATGCTGTCTACTGAGGTACTATCAATTCACAGCCTGCAAATCTGAAATAACCCCTAGAAACTAATCAGAGTACATAAATAACAACAGTTACAAATTTCAATGTATTTTGCTCCATTACATGGCATTCACTCACGAAAAACTGACTATGCTGTCACTGCTGTTATTATTAGGGCTGTCGTCTAATTTTCAATGACTAATGCAGTAATACCACCCCATGCCTCTTCCATATCAAAGGTTGCACAGCACATGCACGTTATACAGCAGCGGCGTTACTGAAGGAAAAAGGCATCTTTTGTTCCACAACGTTGAATTCAGCGTGCGGAAATCTAAAACATCAACGAAAAGCGAGCGCGGTGACCACAAAAATACCCCCAGCCACCACTCGGTGCCTCTCTGCCATACGAC